CTGTGCCACCAGTTTGCTGCTCTCCCCATGCGCCAAGGCCGGAGAAGTTAGCGATCAGGGGGGGCAGATCGCTGCGTTATGCAACGTTCAGCCCAAGCGCCTCCTTATTGAATTCTGTTGTTCGACGACCTCACGGTTGGGCGAATCAAGAGACTCTTCAAAAGGTTGCCGTGTCATTCGGGTAACGGAAACCGAAGACGGGTGCTCCGATACGTGCAGGCAGTGGTTAGGCCGTGAAATCGCCGAATTCAGGAGCAAGAATCCTAAGGGCGCAATCATGTTCTACGTCTCGTTGCCATGCACTGGAGGTTGCCCGTGGGGTTATGTCAACCAGCAAACTCCCAAAGGTGCTGCCAAGATTGAGGGCCACATCAAGCAATTCCGATCACTGTTGAGAGGGTTCAAACGCATTCTCAATGATGTTTATTCAAATGACATTAGAGTTGCCTTCGAACTCCCCAAGGCGTGTCGTTATTGGAAATGGCCTGAACTATGGAGTTTCTTAACTAAGTACAAGATGAACAAGTATGAATTCCATGGTTGCAAAATCGGCATTAAAGGGAGAAATGGAAAACCAATGAAAAAGCAATGGGTCGTTGCCAGTAATATGCCCACTATTTCCGTTGTTGAGTACTTCAAATGTGATGGTTCTCACGAGCATGATGAAAGCCGTGGCACTCACCTGAAGGAAGCCGAGGGATACACGTACATTTACACTGATGCCGTTCACAATGCATTTTCCGAACATGCCACCATGCAGCCGTTGCTTTCGAGTAATTGTGCTGCATCGTTTTCGCAATGAGCGGCCCAACGGCTATGGCGCATCCCGCGAGGGATTGCGATCCGGCATGGAGGCGGTGGATGGAGAATGTTGCTACCACATCGGTATGCACGAACGGCAAGTACGACGTTAACCTCGCCGCTACGGTCAAGGGCCTCCTGGAGACGACCTCTGCACAGTCGCTTATCCATACATGGGTGCAGGACCAACCGCATTATTTGCAGTTGCTTACACCGCTGTTAACTATAAGCGAACCTTATTTGAAGGTTGTGCAGGCTCCACGTGTACCAGATCGCGACCTCCTTATCTATTTGACTGTCGCTGACTCAGGACTGTCAATGGTTTCGGGCAAGAAGAAGAAGCTCCGCAAATATGATTTTGCAGAACGCTTGGATGCTTCTCGCCCGGCGCGTGTCGGTGCATGGAGGTCAGAAATGCTTTGGGGCAAAGGCCTGCAACAGCTTTGCAAAGCATGGCCGCCCTTATCGACGAGGTGCGCACGGACTACCCGACGGCGACCATCGTTCCGATGATTTATTGGAACGGCAATGAGCTTGTTGGGAAGGACGGCATTGAGCCCAGCGGTACCTACCCGTTCGACCACCCCGCCGGCGAGGCCAGTCAGTTGCTGGCAGACACCAAGAGGCACCTGGCTTGGACCAGGGATTTCGCGGCCCGCAAGGGCTGCGCATGCCTTGGAGTCATGACCGGCGCGAAAAGCTATCTCTACGGCTTCTCTATGATTTGGGACCGTTACATGACGGAAGTCCGGGATTACATCATCGGCGACCCCAATCATATGTTCGTGTACGTAGATGCCACACCCTTTGTCGAGACTATCGATTTGCTGGACAGGTATCATATGTGCTTCAGTGATGACAACATTACGAAGACCGTCCAGTTCATGCGCGGAACCCATCACATGTTGTATATGCTTTCTATCTTGCGCCCCGCAATGGGCAGCGTAGCCGAGCTGACACGTTCGCACGACTGTACCGTGCGTCCGATCGATGTGCTCGAGGTGCGCCACCAAGAAGATTGCACAGTCAACGTTGAGGTTCTCGCGTACTGCAAGGAGACGCTAACGAAGTGCGGTGTTTCTTTGTCAGAGATGATCGGGCTCCCTTTCACCCGTGAAGAAGTGGAAGTCCGGCAGCCTCTCGATTTCGCCCCCGTCAACCCAGCCGAGTTTGCAACTTCAGGTGAGCCTTCCGGTGCAGATGTTTCCGAAAGTGTTCGCCCGGCGCAAGCCGGTGCAAAGGCGGCTGCGGTGGCAAAGAGGGACGAGGCGGCGAGCAGGCCGGTACCACTCGACTCCTACGGGAGGAGCGTGACTGGGGGCCACTATGACTGCTGGGTGTATAGCATTCATGATGGCGTGAAGTATGTCGACTACGGCGAGGGCCCCAAGAGACTCGACATCATCAAGCAGCCCTCTTTCGATTATGACCCTTCCGTCAGGAGAATCAGTGACGAATACCACCGTTCCCTGACGTGCATCTCCAAGATCCTCCGTGGTCGTGGAACAGAAGGATGCGGGTATGTGATGGATGAGGACGGCTACATGGACCTCGAAGACCTGGGACTCGCGCTTCGCAAGGAGCTGCGACATCCCATTCCATGGAATATCCAGAATATCATGGACATCTTCAAGCTGGACAAGAAGCAGAGGTTCATTGGCCTTGGTTGCCCGGACGCAAGCCGGTGCAGAGACGTCCCATGTTCTCATTGGCTTTTCAAGCTGAAGGCCTCTCATGAGGACTGGCTGCAGATCGACGACTCCGGCATCGCGAAGGAGTGGTACGTGAACCCGGGAACTGACCTTGGGCGCTGGTCTGGCTGGAACGTTTGCAGCAACCCTCCAACTGTGCTTTATCACCGCACTGATAAGCGAAATTTCGCTAATATCATGCGGAACGGACTACTGCCAGGCGGAGGGGACCAGCACGAGACAGGCCGACCTCACGTTTTCTTCGCTGACGTCCCCAGCACGAATGAAAATTACATATCAGGTGTACGTGCGAACAAACCCCTGGAAATACAGATCGACCTCAGGATGGCCATTCGCGCAGGGCTTTGCTTTTTCAAGACGGAGAGCGATGGCGTCCTCACGCGCGACAAGGTGCCCAACTACACGATTATTTCTGTATTGGACGCTACAAATGGCGATGTATGGTACACTCGCACCGAGCAATCGGATGCAGGTGCACCAGCTGAGGCGACTGAGGATGAACCCCAGGGAATGAAGCGCGATCAAGCTGTGGTTGATGATCGTTCAACAGCGCTGGAACGTATTGCTACGACGCGCACAAATGTGGCCTCTCCTCGCGCCCCGCAAGGGGAAGCGAAGAGACAGAAGACTTTCAACCCAATGGAGAACGTTGAGCTGAATGTCGCCACGTGCCCGGTTTGCAACAACAGTGTCTTCGAGGGGCAGGTGCACTGCTCATCATGTGGGCAGTTGTCTCCCCTCAATCCACGCCTGTTGAAAGAGCAACAGAAGAATTACATCGTGCAGCGTTCCAATCTGTTGAAGAAGATGGGCCTCAGCACCCACGTCACAGCTCGGGTCCTGGCATCTGTGGGAACATTTGACCTTCGCGAGGAGGATCGTAGCAGCATCATTCGTGGCTTGAACTCCCCGGACAGTGCTGTCATTCAGGAGGCACGGAAGAAGCTCAAGTCCGCCCTGAAGAACGGCTACCACTCTCTGCTGGACCGCTATGAACTCGACCTTCAATACAGGGTTCGTATGCTTGAGGTGGGCCGTCGGGAGGCGGACATTCTCCGCATGGAGTTGAGCGCAAATCTCGTCTTGGCTGCTCCAAAGCAGTCGCAGGCCCCACTCTGGGAGTTGGCCTTGGATCAACTTCGGAGTCGCGAATCGCAAGGCTCGCGTATATCAAGACAGAGTTGGAGTTCCTGCCCAACGAACTCCAAGATGCGCTTTCCTCTCGCTGGATCATAATGTTCCAAGGGATGCCTTATAGCCCGAGAGCTTTCATCAACGTGGTTTTTGAGCAAGACAGGCCTCGCAGCATCGGTTGTTGGAATGGCATCATCCATCTGAGAGGCAACACGTTGGACGACCTCCGCAACGAGATGGACTGGATTTTCAGCCAGAATGAGCGGTATGCACGTAACTCGATTGAATTTTCGAGGAACGAAAGCAGCAAGCACCTTGCTCGCAATGCAGCCCGCTATGCCGAGACCAGCGCTCCCGCCGCCCGCGAGGGTGTGCATTGGAGCCGTGGCAGCTGGCAGAACTGGTCCGAATGGAGCGGATGGGGTGACAGTAGCGGTAGCTATTCGACTTGGCAGTGGCGCTGAAAGCGCAACTGTCATGGTTTGCATGAAACAATGGTTCCCCTGACCTTCTCCCTCTGTTGTGTTACTGTTTGGCTGCTTTGTGAAAGGCCCCTTTAACACGCAGAGGGGGGTGAAGAATTTGATCGGTCAATATGGGGTTTTACATCCATTGCATCCGCAGTGTGGCTGTTCAAGCGTGAAAATGTGCGAGCAGCGCACTTGGACGGTTTGTTGTTTCCTTTTGGGCCCCAAACCGGTAACCCTTGAATCTATAGAATCGGCTTGGATCAGATCCTTGAGGCTTCCAAGTCATCCGCGACCAGTCCCTGAAGGGATTTCTCGGATTCATTTATCGCCAGGTGTTTGTGTGTGTTTTTGGTGGGGGGGTGATGTTGGGGGAAATATAGGGAGCCCTGAATTGAACAAAGCGCGACTGGATCGTGGCTCATGATTCTACGATATTCCACGGCAACCCACAAGTGCAACAACATCCCCGAATAGGGCAACATAGTTCTGAGAGGTTCTTTAGACGTTCGTAAGGTTGTGAGAGATCAACCAACATGATTCGTGCCTCCTGACCTGCAATGAGTCGGCCGCTTGAGTTCTGTTTGTGATGTGTCCTTTTCTACTTTGAATGATGTGATCATGTAGGGCATTGATATGGGATTGATCAAAAATACTTCTTGGTTGGGCGTTCATCTAGGTGCGATAGGTCGGGAATGTGGATGGATACGTTTTCTCAAAGTCAGACTCCATGTCTCAGGCATAAACTGGCTCAGTATGGGATGAAAAAATGGCCCCCAAATTTACCACCCATCCTATTGTGTTTCCTTATGATTTCCTTGGGACTCTTCAGGGTCATTCCATTTTTTATTCCCTGCTCTCGCACCCGTCCCCCGGCCCCCGGCAGGCGAAGGGCACCAAGTTCAGCACCAAGAACTTGTGGGTGTCCACCCTGGAGCAGATCCGCCGACACTACGCCCAGGAGGGGTTTGTGACAAATTGTTCGAGGTTTTCCAGCTAGGTGCCCGCTCTTTCACCCCTTTTTGTTGGTTGGGAGGGTTCCACGACTAAAATAGACTACAGGAAAAAAAAAGGTACCCTGAGCTCTAGGTCCTCCAGTAGCTAGTTTTGGAGCCCCCCCCCCAACATGGTGGTGTCCCTTCAACTCACTTCCTGAGTTCCGGTTCGCGCTTCAGTCACTTTTTGGGGTTGGTGGCCATTTTAGTGGTGAACACAAAGTTTGGACGTTTTCTGACCAATCCACTCAGGACGTGTTCTGACCAATCCACTCAGGACGTGAGTTTGGATTTCCCTTTGAACAACAGCAAGAAAGAGGTGCCAACTCCCACCAGTTCACATGGAACCTGACATGGGGTGCTGGAAGACCATTTTGGTCCCGAACGTCGAACGCTTCCGAACGTGTTCATTGATGGGAGGGTACTTGGTGGTTTGGATTGGGAACTGAACAAAAACTGAACCTGCGGCTCTTGCGGAGAAATGGGCAACTTTTTAACTTTTCCTCAACCGCCAATCCAAACCTTGACGGCTCCCGAAGGCCATCCGGTTCCTTAGCTGTTTAGATCCCTTTAGTGTTTAGTGGTAGTTTCCGAATTTAACCCACCAAAGGTTAAACGCTTTTGGCCGGGGGGATCTGAGGGCAGCCCACAAACGACTCAAAAACGTGATCAGGACTTCGCCAACTTCAACTACTCCATGGCCAAGTTCCTGAAGTAGCCTTTGGTCAGCGGTGAAGTAGGCGAAAAAACCCAAAATTTTTGCCTGGAGCACAAGGCGGCGTAGGGGTGTCCAGTTTCCCTTAGGGGTCTCTCTACTTTTGTATTTGCGTGTTGATTTGAAGCTGACCTATCACTGGAAGTGTCTTGCGCAAATGGAGGTTCAGAAGCCAAAAATGGATGGTGTCCAGGTACATGTGAGTTCCATGGGCACAGAGTGGCAAGCCCAGTGAGCAAATTGGCGGCTCCAAGCACCAGCTGGCTCCAACGCACGTCGCACGTCCTTGCTGGATTTCCGTCTGCCCTACCGGCAATAGAACAGGCGCCTTCGGCATGTAATTCACGCAGTCGGTACGACTGGTGAATAAAGGCCGCGCGCTTGGCGAAAGTCTTCCCCCACCCAGAAATTAGTGTCGACCCCAAGTTAGTTAAATACGTTGATTGATTGATAGGGGGGTGCCCTTCGTAGTGGTTGGATTCAGGCCAATTTTGGAGGGGAACACCCTCTATTAATAGGATGAGTTTAGGAGTTCGGGAGATTTCCCTTCTAAGAACCCCGAAGAAGGGGGGTCTTTAGTTTTTTCCCTGCAATGGGTTGGTCTGGTTTGGCAGCTTGCCAAGAATGGGATCAACACTACCCGGGTGGTTGGGAGTATTCCAGGGGCACACATTCGATCCCCCCCAGCAAATTAGCATGAAACTTCCGAAAATGTGGTTTCCCTCCCCCTTGGGAGACCTCTACACATGATAGTGTTTGTTGGGTTCCCATGCTATCCGCAGAAAGGTTTGTTGCTTGGATGTTCAACTAACTTGATAAGTAGGTTTTAGGCATGCTGCAACTGTGCTTATAGCCCATTTGCCAAGTTGGTTGAACACCCAAGTGCAGAGCAAGACAGGTTCAATGGGCAGACGCTGTTAAAAGCATCTCAGCCGGAATTTATTGGCTGAAAGCGACAGCCTGCTGAAATTTAAAGGGCAATGAAGATTGACCGGGGACCGTCCCTATCAGAAATAGGTGTGGGTATCCATCCTTTAGACTTTTTACATTGTTTTAGGTCGACCATTCAACTATCAGGTTTTCATATTGACTCACGGATGAGAAACCGAGTGAAACATTGTCATTGGACAACAACGCAGGCTGGGCTTTGTGTAACTCGTTAGTGGTTCTCCTTGATTTGAAATTTGGGGTTTTGTCCGTTTGAGGGTCCTTTTTTCCATGGCTTGAAAGGGAAACCAAAAACACACCTCCCATTTTGTGGGTCTCCTAAAAACCGACATACCCATGTGTGCTGGGTACGGTTGAGGAAAGAGCAAGTCATGGGTAATATGCCTATTCGGCGAGCAAAGTATGAGCTGACTACGGCGCCGACTGGAAATCCCTCGTTTCAGGTTTTGAATGTGGTGTACTCCCCTGCCAGCCCAACATGGGTCCCAAAAGGGATCCCCCCAAAGGAGATTCCAAACCTACACCTGTTTTTGGGTTTTTGGGTTCCATGTTAAACTCTACGGGAGACACATTTGCAGAGGGTGCCTCCTTGTACGATGCAGTGATCTCGTGCGCAGGTATACCGGGCGCATGATCTACCGCGGCCTTTGCGAGGCCACCTGATAGCATGGAACTCAAGCGACCAGCATGCACCCACCCCTTAACCACCGAACCACCGGGCTTCAAACCACCAATTGGGGGAAGCCGAATTCTTGCGGTTTGTGGCAACTGACAAACCGGGGACTTGCTAAAGTGTCCTGCGCAGGTGGACGCCGTGAATGCAGATGGCACCTTGGTTCGGGGCACTGGGTGTGCTTCAAGGAATGTGAAGGTCCTCCCACCAATAAACATGGAACCTGACCGGGGGGGGGGGGGGTGGTCCGGAAGACAATTTTCTTTTTAAAGGGACTCCCTGTTTGGTTCCATGCGAATTGGTGGGAGGGTAATTGTTCAAGCGAGACCCATACTACCAGAATCCATCAAAGGATACAACTAAACATCACCTAGGTGTGTCTTTTTTGAGCGTACCCCGTTTTTGGCAGTCAAAAAGGGAAACCAAAGGCAGAACCACAATTTTGGGGATACACCCATCTTGGCACATGTCAAAGCCTCAAAGGATACAGCTTACAAAGCTGAATTGAACTAATTCGCCAAAAGGTTCTCGTTGAGGAAGCTTGATTCATCATGCATTATGGAGCTTCTTGCCGCAAACAGCGGGTCGAAAGATCGGAGTTGGGTAAAGGTAAATAGATGGAACAATTGCTCCCATTCTGGTGGAGTCATCCCCTTTCCTCAACAAAAACGGGATCTGTGCCATACACCCTCCCAGTTTAGCGGCACTTTCTCGTTAACCCCCTGTTTCTGGGGTCTGCCACGTGGTCAACAAGGGACTCTTTTACACTTGTCTTTCCACTTGTCGCTGGCACCGAGGATGCACCGTCTCCCTTTGCGGTGACGCCACGGGGAACTTCATTTGCTATCCCATCAGCAGCTCAGATCAACTCGGTGGGCTAACAACAATCCGGTTTCGGATTGGTCGTTCGAGAAACCTCCTGCGGAGGGGGGGCAATACATTTCGCACCACTTTGAAACATGTTGCAACCATCGGTTTGTTGGGATTTACTAAAGGGAATTATCATTCCAGGGGTTCAGAACGGTGCGAAATGGATTTCGTCCCTCCACAGCATGTGTTTCTTTCTATGCTCATGGCTTTGAAAGGGGGCAATATGAAATATGTGCCCCCTCGGAATGTGTGTGCCCTAGCAATATGTTTGCTTCAGGCAAGGCAGAAGAACATGAGAAGAGGCGGTTGGTTACCAACTCAGGGTAAAATTGACACTGGCTATTTGTTTTGGGGCACAAGCCCAGAGGCACGAGTTATCTGCTGGCGAATATTTGTAAGGGAACTCGAACTTCCTTGTGGGGTGGCGGTCGGGAATTGGCGGCTGCACGTTCTTAGGCGCCAGCCTCGCTCCAACATCGTTTCGCCAACTCGAAGTACTTAGGTTGAGGCAACCCCCCCTCCCCCCGCGACAAACATACCTGCGAACTCCTTTCTGTTGGTTCCATGTTTATTTGCAGGGTAATAACGGGGGACAGCATAGGGAATCCTTCTCTTCGAAGAACCTGAGTCGGCCAGATTCGGTACCAAGGTGAGCGAGAAAGTAGTCAGGCAATGCCGACGTTGTGGTCAGCGTACGGAGCCGATTTTCCTCAACGGATACGGTTTGGGTGCTGAAAGATCAACTCTCAGGCCCCTCATGCAATTTAATAGATCGCTGGCTCAAAATGATTCCTTTCCAGAGTGTCTTGGATAGGAAATCGGCTTCGTCGCATTTGGTATCACTTGAGCCATCTAGAAACTGGTGGAGGCCCAAATCTCGCCTGGACCTCAAAACGGGTGCCGTTTCCAGGCGAGAAGCTTCGCAGGGATGGCCGTTTTCATTGCAACTGGGGCCTGTGCGTGCTGAGGCGCAACGCGCGAGCGAGCGGTTTTCTGTGGTCGTTTTTGTGCTTTACAAGAACGCACACTTTTGGAGGTACCCCTTTTTGGCTTTTCGGAGGCTTAAAAGGGAACCGAAAAAGAAAAAAGCAAAAACAAAACACACACACACACACACCATATGGGGTCGTTTTCGGGAAGCTCGTCTCAAACAGCACACGCTGCGAATTGAGCCAGAACCCCACTTCTCTTGAATTGGTGAGTTGGCCAAAGCGGTCCTTCATGAGAGTATGCTTTGAGGCTGCCCCAGAAGGATAATTATGTTCCTTTTGGATTCCCGTAAAGCCAAGCCGCAACAAGGTACCCTCCAAACAGCACACACAGACCCATAGATGTGGTGCTTTCGACATGTTTGGGAGTTCATGGACCCCAGGTTCACACCGAATGTGAAGTTCTGAAGAAAAAACAACAACAAGGCAAACAGTTGGGAGGTGTCTCTTTGGAGGGTACCCCTTTTCGGAGGCTTAAAAGGGAAACCAAAAGGAAAAGCACGATTTGGGGTCGTTCCCTAAAAAAAACACAGCCAGTGAGGAAAGGTGAGCTAAGTCTGGCGATGTTTCCACAGCATCAAATGGAGCCTCGGACCTCGAGTGGCTTGCGCCAGCGTGCGCGAATCGGCTCGAGGTACAGAGCACAAAGGATGGCTGCCATGAAAGAAGCCTCCCATTTTTTCCCAGCGGAGGGACAAAAAGGCCTTGTGAAGCATGATGTTACTAGCACCTTCTGTGAAGGTGACCGTGCTTTGGGATGTATCGCTTGGGCAACACATCCGGTTTTCACCCCGTTGGAAAACCACCTGGCGCCCCATAAAACCTGGTGGTGGCCACTCGCCTTGGGCGGCGACTCGCCAGGCGCCTGCCGGAGGGTGAGGAGAGTTGGACGGCAGAGGCGAAGCTCGAGGCACCCGAGCGGCTGTCCGCGAGGGGTCCATCCATGTCCTTTTTGTTTACACTCCTAGGTTATATTGCCGAGGTCATGATGTTTTTAACTCCTAGGTTTTTCGGCTAGGTGCCCTTTTAGTCACTCCGTTTTTTTGTTTTGTTGTTTTATTTATTTATGTTTCCCGTTGGGAGGGTTCCGCTACGAAAATAGACAAAACAAAAGTTGGTACCCTTCTTCTATCCTCTCTACTGAAGGGCCCAGCCTCCATATTGAGGGGACATCCAGCACTTGACCGTGGCACACCAGAGGCCCGGTCCCTTTACAAGGAAGTTTCGCCCAAAGGACCCCGTTTGTTGGGTTCATGGATGTTCTTGCGTCCTTTTTGCTGGTTTGTTGGTTTTGTTGGGGTTTCTTTGGTTAATTATTTTTGGACTGTATGGGGCCTGGACCATTCCAGTGGCAACCAAAAAGTTTGAGCCATACGTTTCCTTTTTCGTTTGGTTTGGCTGGAAATTGATTGCGTTCCACTGGTTTAGATGAGTTTCATGCCCCATGCCATTTGTCTACTTGTTCAAAAGGTCAGCTACGGTTTGGACCGCTTTTGGCTCAACTCTGGAACTGAGCTGGGGAGCCCCTCCACTAACCCCCGTGGTTTGGGTTGAGCCACTCGTTGTCTGGATTGGGCTGTTGTTTTTGTTTTGACTCCCCCCCCCCCAAACGTAATATTAAATGAAGAGAATAGCAGCTATCCTTGAACTGTCGGCGTCCCTTTTTTCCACAGACCGCACAAGGGGTACCCTCGAAGACAGACCCATAGAGTTGTTGGGGATGTTGCACTTTGGTATTGGGGGGGGGTCCACTATTTGAGATTTCTGCGCACTTCGCTCTGGGACCCAGAGGGTCCGAGGAAAGATTGGTCCCAAATCGAGCGAGTCAGGTTGCATCTGGGGAGGGGAAGCCTTGTCCGCGTGAGTTGCCAACAGGTCACTTTTTCGGTAATGTTAGCCCCGGATTAATAAACCCCTGGTGGATTAATAGGGGGGTGTCCCCTTTTAAGTGGGGAGTTATGAGTTATCACTGTTGGAGGGAACACCCCCCTAATAATGGGACGGGTTTATTATTCCTGGGTCAACATTAGGCCTGGCCTTTGGGGTCTGGGACGTAGGCTGACCTCCGGGTTTTGGACCAGACCTTTCCGGTTTCGAAACCGGGTCTTTTTCCTCCCGTGCATGTCAAGCCTGGAAAAAAATGGGCGGGAGGATGCTCAACTTCGGCCATGCCTGGAGCGATGCTTTGGTCCCTTTTCTGGACAAAGAGTACGCGAAGCAAGAGGGTGGTTTTCCTTGGGCTTCCCTTTCCAAGCACCCCGAAAGATACGGGTTCCGAGCCACCCGTGTTTTAGGAGGTCGTGGCCTTTTTCCTTTCTGGCCCTTTCTGGTCACAGCCCCACAGCCGAACTGAACCCCCTCTCCCTCGATCGACACCCAGCTCGCGGCAGGACATTCGGGAGGACTGGGGGCCGCTGGCGGAAAGCAGGCCTTACCTATGGGCTTGCTATCCCAGGTTTATCAGTAGTGCCCTTCTCACCCCTTTTTTTGGTTGGGAGGGTTCCCCTACGAAAATAGACGTCCTGAAAAAAACATGGTACCCTTATTCTATCCTCTCTACTGGAGGACCTAGTATCTCCACAAGGCCCCGTAAGAATCGTTGATTGGGGGGGAGAGGGGGGGGGAACGCCCCCTGAAGGTCTCCGGGCTGGTTTTGCTTTGTTGGGGTGGTTGGTCAACCTTTTGGGCAACCATCCCAATGCTTCCCCTTCAAAGGATTCTCTTTGAAACCATCCCGAAAACGGGCGCCGGTAGAAATGCACACCCAAACTGACGCCCGCATCGGTGGGCATCAAACATCGGCGAGGATTCGTGTCCCCCCCAACCACTGTGAAGGTGGTTCTCTCTTAACTTTCAGAGCCATATTTCGCAAAATTCCCGACAGGATGCTAAAGGGAATGGCCCCCATTCAGCACCCAGTTTGGTGCATTAAGGCGTTTCGGGCCACCTTGAAGGGATGGTTCAAGGGGATGTGTGGGGAGTGCTCTGAAACATGCTACCTGTTGGTTTTCCCGGCGTTTAAGAAAACATTCGAAACAAACTGAAGCAACTGAAACCAGTGGCATCCGCAATGAGCAGAACTGAGCCCATCCAGGAACCCCACAATTGTTTTAGCATACCCCGGACGCCCCTTCGATTTTCCCGAGGCCCAAAACGAGACCCCAAATCATGCTACCAAATGCTCATCACCCTCTTAACTCGCTACAGCCGGGTCTCTTGGTGTTGACCCAAAATGGTACCATTTGGTGTTGACCCACTGCCATATGAGACCTTCCCTCAGAGAGAAGTGGTCTCTTCCAAGCATGATATGATCCTAGGTGTTACAGCAAAAGGCCCCACGGCAACCTTGTGGAACCAACATGGATTTTCCACTACCTGGATCGCCAATCGCTGTTTTTGTTGTCCCATGCACTTTACTCCAAAAACCAGCAACAGCGACTCAAAAAAGCTGCAACTTGGCTATCAGGGTGGTCGCTAAACCTACAAAGGATGATCGACCTTTTGTTCTGGGAAGGAGCAAAGGGGCAAATCTCATGGCTCGATGTCGGACAGGAGCTGAAGGCTATGGGTGGCAACACCTTCGCTGGAGCTCGGGATGCATTTGGAAGTTCGGATCGTTCAGCTCAAGCTGGGTCTCTTCATCGCCAGCTCTTTTGGCTTCTCAGGGAACCTCAGAACCTCAGGGGGGATTCTTCATTTTCCTCTTTCAACCAGCAAACCAAAAACAAAGTGTGGGTGATATCCCCAACAGCCCTGAACCCTCTGGAACTCTCCGGAATCCCTGAAATCTGCTGCAAACTCCAGAACCAATCTGGGCCTTTCGACCAAATCCATAGCTTTCAGCATCTTTCAGCTAGGAGACGGAGGGTTGCCGTGCCGCAGAGTGGGTGTTGTTTTTTTTCTCCAGGAGCCATCCTGACTTGTTGTTCAGAATGGGTGTGTCAGTTATTGAGTTGGTACTCCCTTGTTTGGTTGCTTTTAAAGGCCACCATTTTGGGGGGGTCCCCCAAGAAAAGGACACACCTAGTCAGATGGGATCTGACTTTCCTAGTCCGTCTCGAGAAACACGACCACTAGCATTTGGCACCATCTTGCGGGTTGATTTGGCGCAGAGATCGATCGGGAATGCGTCCCAACCATGGCTCTTGCGACAAGCGAAGAATGAAGAGAGTGAGGTGTGCTTTGGGTACCTTTGCTTTCGGGTGTGAAAATCCGCTTCACCGTTTTAGGTCCATAATGTTGACCCCGGAACAACAAATGTGCGGATTGTTCAAGGGAGTGGTCTTTCCGAAAGTGAAGAACGCCTTCAAACATGGAACACTCCTACTTCTTTCCCAGACGTTTGCGTTGCCAGACTTGGCTCACCTTTTTGCTCAACTTTTTGCAGGGGCAAGTCTGACCCTCAGCAATTGAGGGTGCCTCTTGAGTTGGCAAGCTTCAAGTCTTGACAGGCGTCTTCCAGAGTCCTCGTCTTGGCGAAAGTTGAAACTGTTCCTGGAAGTGAACTCAAAAAATCTCAGCAAGTCAGTACTTGGTGAGACTGCAAGGCAACTAGAAGGACCTCTCTAGGCGGAAATCGAGCTTCCATGAAGACCCCTTACGTGGGAATGCATGACTTTTTCTAGCCAAATGCACTTGGGATCGGAGAAAGTCCCTGAAAGGTACCTGGTTCTTCTTCCTCCAGCTATGGCTATGGGGATCAATCCGCACCACATGCTGTTCGAAAACGATTTCCTCTACTCGAGCTCCAACCTTGAAATCACTGCCTCCGCTCTCCCCCCTGAAGCTAGGTCCCCCAGTGCCATTTTACCCTTTTTTGGTTGGGAGGGTTCCCCTAAAATAGACTACAGAAAAAGCAGTTGGCACCCTTCTGACATCGAGGACCTTGTATTCTGTTTCGGCCGTGCAATGGGCCTCCGGAAACGAACCTAGCGGTTGAAAGTAGCGACCAAGCTGAGGACTGACTCCTTTGCAGATGGCGGCACCTCGTAGAAAATCTCGCGGAACAACTAGATCCATTTGCTTAGGATATTTTGTATTCGCCCTGGTTGGTTTTGAAAGGAATCGATTTCACCACTGGGAATGTGTTTTTTAGGTGGCTGAAGCAAATGGAAGATGGCGAGAGGGGAGGGGGGGTTGTTCAGGGTGCCCTTAGTGTTGCCGCCCTGTGAGGCTCGTTGTGCGCCTGGGGAGACACCTCAGAAAACCGAAGGGTGCATCACTTTGAGACAAAATGTGATCTGTTCCTGACGCACCCTTTCATGGTTGTCGTGGGAAACTCAACCACTTAACTGCTAAAATTTAAAATCTTTGCTCCCCTTCCAACGTCAACCAAGCTTTCTTGCCTCTCGGGAGTTTTGGTTCGTCTATTCTTGAGATCCTGCTTGAGATCCTGCTTGGTTCCAGTTAGTTCTTACGCCGTTACAGATGACTTCCATTTTTTGGGGAGTATTGTTTATGTCCCCTGTTGGTTTGTTGTTCCCCTTTCTGTTTTAAAAAGACTTCCCAGGGGACTTGAGCAAATCGAATTTCTTGGGGTCCCATTCTTTGTCGGTGTAGAGTTTCACGAATCGGAACGTTGCCAGCCCAAAATGGATTCGGCCTATTTGCATGGCCTTTGAGCAACACGCCTTGTGAGATTGTGGTCCTTGTGTTTTGGCGGCCCCGATTCTAGATGTGGGCTCCAAATCAAGAAGCAAGAAACTCACATCTGGCTGTTTGGCGCGCAAACGCGCGTGCTGCAAGTAGAGCCGCTCCATTTTGCCCCACCGAAATCGGCAGAAGGTCGCTAGTTTTGATCTTCAGCAAACCTCCCCCACCCCCCCACCCCCACCCCACCGGATTTGCGGTGGAATCCGCGAAAAAAGCCCATTTGTTTTGCTTAGGATCACTGAATCGAGCCATGTCCTCCCATTTCGTCAAAGAGCATCTCAGTCCATTTCTGTCAGAAGGCTTTGGCGCTGGCCGGCCTCAAACGTCACGGCTCTTTGAAGCTGTGGTTCGTTGTCTTTCTTTAGTGGCCGCTGGCCGTCAGAGGCGCTTAAGCTTTGAAACCCTGAGCATGGGAGTCAGGTTTTAGGCAGGAGTCTCCCAAGTGAAGCGAGGGCGGCCCACCTAAGACGAATCATTCTCCGCGACCACCCTGAGTTTTGAGCCAGCGGGCCTAGGGTTGGTACTGGATTGATTTGGGGGTTAGTTCGGGTGGTTTAGGGTGTGGCTGGGTTGACGGGCATTCTTCCACCACCCGTCTTGAGGCATGTCGCTGCCACATCCCAAGATTCCATTTATTTGGGAATATTGTTTATGTCCCCTTTGGGTTTGTTGATGTTCCCCCCTTTTTTAAGGACTTCCCGGGGGACAGCAAATTGAGGAGCGGACAGAGAAGATCATCGGGTGGTGCCTCTTTGACCGCGACCCTCTGGAGTCCTTCGACTTTTCCAATGCGACTCGACTTCCGCCGAAGGGGTCGACTCACTTGGCTCGCGCAAGTGCGGAAACACGGGAACCATGGGATTCGAATCCCCGTACCTTACTTCCTAAAATGTCCGGGCCCAGTACCCCCCCCCTGAAAATGGGGTTGCGGGAAACATGGAGGAACACCAAGGAGAACTGTCAATATGGTAGGTGCAGTTTCGCGCAATGTTAAGGCCGGGCTATTGAACAGCCCCGCCAAAAGTTCTCAACTCGTTCGCTGGGAAAATGCAGATTCTCCCTGACATGTTGAAGGCTGAAGATCCACTCAGTTGCCCAGAAAACGTTCAGAAATGGAGGGTGATCACATTTTGGCCACGACAAAAACACAAATGGAAACCAATAGGTCATTTCAGGTCGATTCGCCTTGGGGCCACATGTTTGTACAAAACGTTCCCCAACATCACTGCCAACAGGGCCGCCCTTTCCTTATTTCCACGCGAAGTTGGCAGGTTTTGAGCAAAGCAAGGCTAGAGGCAAAAGCCCGGCTTTCTACGTGTCCCTGGTTCTCAATTTAAAAAATGGGGGGGGGGGGGAGTCCAGTCCTGTTTCTTGAAGGGCGTGGCAACCGGAGTTCCGCACAAGTTTTCCCGTGTCCCTGCGAGTTCGATCCATTTCTCGGCTCAGGTGACCCTTCTGGGGGATGCGGCGCATCCCTTGCTTCCATATGGCAGCCAGGGCGCGACGCAGGCCGCACAATCCGTGAACCTGTCGTGGAGGAATGTCTCCCTAAAATGACCTCCCCAGAAGTGGGTTGCTAATTCTTATATTCATGGCCAAAAATGGTTTCAAAGTATTCCACACCCTCTGTTAATTCTGTTGGGTTCCGATGCTGCCACCCGGCCTGGGGTAATTACCTGATGCGTTGGATTTGGCGCCTTTGCCACGTGAAGTGCAGGCCATCATGGACGCAGAGGCCTTGGGCGTGTGCTACCAGAACGCTATGGCCAAGAAAACAGGCGAACGACGAAGAGGGCGATGGGCATCGACCGGAAGAGATAGATCACGGGACAAAGCTCCCGAACGGACCCCGAAATGGAAAACTTGGTTCCACTGACAGGATCGGCCAATTGGGGGTGTCCGGCTGTTAGTTTGCGGGGTGTGAGTGTTAAATGGGTAAGACTCAGTTGCCCAAAGGACCCCAAAATCAGAGTTGATCACCTTTCGGGCCACCAAAAATGGGATCGGACGGGAAGAACAAAAGGTCATCAGGTCGTCTTTGGACAACTGAGGTGTTGAAAGGGAAGCCACAGGGGCGCAGGGGTGGGCGGGGGGGGGGGGGGGATTTTTGAGGGTGTTGTTCACTGTGGGCAAGACTCCAATTCGCTGCTGACGCTGAACTAAATTCCAGTAACCTCAACGGGTGTTGGGGCTCGGGTGACTTGCTCCATTCATGCCCTGTAATTTGGTTCAAGGTGCGCGCTTCGGGTCAGGAGTGGCCCAGGGCTGGTTGCCTGGAAAGCGAGCTCGAACATGGTGATTGGCATGTTGGGTGACCACCAGAGCCAAAGGAGAAAACAGGCTTTTCACCGCCCAAACAAATCCCAGGGTCCAACCGATCCCCGTGAATGGTTGACCCACTTTAGATGATGAAATTCCTGGGCGGTAAACACTGGGGATGACAACATACCTGGGGCAGATGGTGATTGCCCCCCCCCCCCCACTTTAATGAGGATGAAATTCCTTAGGCAGATGCTGGTGATTTGTATTACCCCCACTTTGATTTACTGGTTGTTTGACCCCCAGAAAACTCACTAGGACTTTCTCACTAGGACTTTCTCACCTTTTTTTGGGTTGGGAGGGTTCCCCTAAAATAGACAAACAAGCAAAAAGTGGGTACCCTTATTCTAACCTCTCAAATCCGGAGGATCTAGTCTAAGGAACCCTCAGAACGGTTTTCGGAATTTCCTGGTTGATCCCCAGGTTGACCCCATATGAATAAATGGCTGTGGGTCAAAAATAGGTACCCAAAATGGAACTCTGGTAAATGGAAACATGGACCAAAACCTAAAACTAGCGTCCAATTCCTGAGGCAGATGGTGTTTCGTATTATTTGTATTACCCACTTTGATTTCCTGGTTGACCCAAAAAAACACCACATGGGCTGCCCATGCCTTTGGCGCGCATGGCGCGGGTCTTCCTGAGCTCCGGGCCGGCGCCCTACGGCCGCAGCGTCTGGGACGCCGTGGCCGCTGCCGCGGCGGAAGCCGCGGGTGGCAGCGGGGAACGGCGGGGGCTGTTCTTCGAAGAGCAGGCGGGGACCGTAATCGTTGATTTCACTCGTGGTGCCCAGGATTCTTTGCTTTTTTTTAATACTCTCTGATTGTCCGACTGTTTGCTTTCAAGGGAGCTGTGGCGCAATGGCAGTGCGCCGCCTCAGCGTCAGGGCAGAGGGTGGGGGCTCAAGTCCTCCTAGTTCTATGCTTCTGGCTCGCGTTACAAACCCCCAAAAGCGGTTGCCAAAAGCGTAGTTTCGGGGGGGTGGTGCCTCTAGCCCAAAACCCGCCGAGCTACGCTGCTCCAGCGCCAGTTTGGTGTCACACCAGCAGGGCGGCTGTCTCGACCTCCAGAGCGCGACCGACGCCGGGGAGAAACCTCCATTTAGAAATAAAATGTGTGAATTCCCTCATTAAGAGAAAACTCAGTCCCTGGAGGACTACTGTACTTTGGTGGTAAGCAACAAGTTGAGCTTTTTTTGTTTGAGGGGGGGGTCATTTACTTGATCAGAAGTGAGGACCCCGACCCTAGAAGGTTTTCGGTGCTTTCAGAGATCTTTTCAGAACACGCACAAAACCGTCTTGGCTTTGGCTTCTTGAGAAAATTATGGAACAGCAAGGGGGAATTGCTCCTGAAGCTAAGCTGGGCATTCCAAGACCCACAAAAGCACAACTTCCCCAACAGGGGGCCGCCTTGTTTTCGGTGGTATCCCTTATGGGTGGTGGTTGTAGAATAGCCAAAGGAAGACCAACAACATCAAAAAACAGTTAGATGAAGGTTAGATGAAGGTTAGTAAGAGGCAGTCCCAGCTGGAAATAGTTGCGGCCGCCTTTCTAATTCTTTACATGGTTCAGGGTTCACCATTTTTGTACCGATCGGTTTTGATTGTGGCTCATCTGTGGAGTCCCCGATTTTGACACCACCGACACGGTCGCGCGTCAGGAGATTTCCGCCGAGGAGCTGGCGCCGGGACATTTGCAGCTCGGACCGCCGTCGGATCGGGCGAGCGGCTCCATCGTGCGCTTTGGGCGCGCGGCTCCATCGCTGCCTGGCTCCGAGGCGAAGCGGAAAGGAAATCCTCGCGGTCGGCGTGGTTTGTAGTTGTTTTGGCGGTTTTAAGGAAAACTGAAAGGACCCCCACCATTTTGTGCTCCGGAGAAGAGCCCGACACCATCTTTGGGAAGCGATGGGTTTTTGGGGGCCCTCCCTAAGTTCCTGGACTTCATACTTTGTGGGTTCGGATCATGTCGGTGGGAAATAAACACTTTGTTGCATTTTGCCAAGGGATGTTAGGACTTGAGAACTTTTTGCCAGCTAATGGGTTTTCCGTATTAAACCACTACAAGTTATTCACTTTTAGCAGGGCTTCGCAGATTTCGCAACAGAGAACAGTTCAGACTTTGTTTGGCCAGTTTGGGAATTTCGGCAGCTGAAACCTATGGGGCTGATAGGCCCAGATAGGCGATCAGGTGGTTTGGGGGCAGCTTTCAGGTGGGTGTCTTTGGGTTTCGGGGCTGTTGGTGATACCACCTGGGCTTGCTGGTTAGTTTCTTGGCTTCTGTTCGTGCTTCGTGGTTTAGTGGGGAAAACTGCCAAAACTGCAGCTGTTGGCAGCCAGTTTGTGAAAAATGTCGTGGGGGAAGTCGCTTGAGCTCCCGGACGGCCAGTGCCCGGTTGCCATGGTTTGGAGGCTTCCCCCCTTAAAAACTAAGCATGCCTCGCAGGCCGAACAATACCAAGCACCTTGGGATTTTTGAGAAACCCATATGGGGGTTAGGCCAGCTTCTGCAATACCATGGCAATCCCAGTGAATGACACATGAAGAGAGGTATCAAAGAAAGGGGCCCATTTTGAAGAGTATGCTCGGTTGTGCACCTCTAAGCCCACCGTGGGACTGCACGGTAGTTTGATTGGGCTTTACCTTCCCTTTGCGAGGTGTTTGGAGCCAACTGATTCTAATGTTTCCTCCTATGGCAGTGACATGTTGCTTCAAAAAGCCTTACAACCCAGCAATTGGTTTGAGTGCCTTTAGTTGCTTGCTGAGCTCATCGGGGGTTAGCACGAGCTTGGGTCCAATATATCAGATTTGGGCTTACGCAAGTTGCAGATGTGTACAATTTGGTGACAGAAGAGTGCATTTCCTAAGGTTGGTCTATCCCTGTTGTCAAGTTGAGATGCAAGGAAACCTCAAAAAAACAAAATGGCACCTCCATTTCCTGGGAGAAAAATCACACATATTGTCCTAGTAGTGGTACTCTACAAGGGAAATAGGACATATAAATAAGCAAATAGAAGAACCGAGGCACCACTGAGGGAGTCCTTTCCTTGCTAGATCCCCGTAGTGCCCTTTCTCACCCCCTTTTTTTGTGGTTGGGAGGGTTCCCCTACCAAAACAGACCACGGAGAAAAAAAGCTCAGGTGATATCCCCAACAGCATGCGGGGCTCTTTTTAATGCTCGCACCACCCCGCAGAACCTCGTGGAAGCTTTCAGCTGTTGGGGAAAAAGTTGGTGCCCTTGTTCTATCCTCTGCTGGAGGGCCTAGCGTGGAAAGGCAGTCCCATGGGTCCTCTCGCTCGCGTCTCGATGCCGATGGAGCGCAAGGCGCAGTGGGGCCACTCGGTGGCCTGCCCGGTGGCTGAGCTGAAGCGCCAGGGCCACACCTTGGAGCCCAAGGCCGGCGATCTTCGGACAGCGCCGGGGGGGGGTGTCAAGCCGGGGGTACGTCAGGTCAGCCCCACCTCTCACCCCCTTTTTTGGAAAAGGGAGGAGACCCCCCATGCTAAGATAGACTACGGAGAAAAAAAAAGGTAGCCTTATTCTAACCTCTCTACTGGAGGACCTAGGGTAACACCCCCAGATCTCAAGCTTGAGTAGTTCAACCTCGGGTATGGATTTGTTTTCTTCCAGGCGAGGTAAGTCTCGTGCCTATGTGGGGTGTTCGACCAACTTAGTAGCGTATAACCACGGTTGCAAGGGACAAGCATCTAAGAGGGACGCCCATGTTGGGGGCTGTGTTTGTTTGTGGCTTTAAAGTTGCTTGAAAGGGAACCAAATAGGGACACAACACGAGATTTTGGGAGCCCAAAATTGGGTTCGGCTTTGGTTAACCAACCTAAGTGGTACTCTTGGGACGCCCACATGTGGAGGGGGGGGTCGCTGGGGGGCGAACATGAGAAACCAAAATTTGGCTTACTGAGTCCACTGGGTGCTTTCCCTTTAGGAGGAAGGTCCATGTTTAGTTTACGCGAAAAAATCTGCTCAATTCCAAAACCTCCACAATTTCCCCATATTTCCCCTGCTACATAGCAATTGCATTTTGCTTAGCTTACCCAAAAGGAGCCAAAAAGCATTGTTAATTTGCAAGCTTCCCCCTTGAAGGCGTTTGGGGGGGCTGGTTAGTTGTTTGATCTGTTTCTTTCTGAACATCGTTGTGGGGCAAAGACCACATAAATTTGTCTGCTGAAATGGGAAGATTTGCTCATGGCTTCCCATGAAACAAAAACATAAATTTTGGTGGCGTGCAGAATTGCAGGGGGGGGTATCTCTTTTGGTGTTGAGTTGAATGCCTGGTTGGACAACCATGTTAGCATGGCGATCTCACCTAACGCAGGTGTGCACTGGAATCCCTTTTGATGGGTGCAAGCTGGAGTTCCGATGGACAAACCAAAACCTAAGCTTCTGAGAACCTGGGTGGTTGCTGGACGCCGGGTGAGGCCAGTAAAAACTAGGTGCCCCAGTAG